CGTTAAAACAGATGAGAGTTTTGGCAAGGAGGCAACAGTGGACCTGGTTTCAAGAATTTGAACAGTGTTTATCTTTTTGCTATAAATCCATTTTGTGTGTGTACCAAAAAACACCTACTCATCCTGGACTTGATACCTACACAGATCTGTGAACCTAATATGCAACTTCTTTGGTGAATAAAGGAACTTACTTGTTCAGAAAAAAAAAAAGAAAGAAAGAGTAGACACTTCATTCCATTAGTTTGGAGGTGGGGCCCAACCGGAGGCCCTTAGATTTGGGGGAGTATGGCATCTTGAGAAGTTTGTTACAAGATCCTGAGCTAGGCCTAAGTGTTCTCTCTGCTTCCTGGCTTCCTCCACACTCGCTCTGCCATCCACCATGCTGCTTCAACTCTCAGCCTCCAACACTGTAAACCACTCTCTCCTTCACCAGTAGTTTGGCTCAGGGACTTGGTTGTAGTAGTGTAAAACCAATACAAGCCCTGTGCGAAAAGTCCCTTCTAGCACCTCCAACTCCAAGGCAGAAGCAAAGATGTGAGGAAGGGAGTGTTCAAAGGCAGATCTATGTCCACCTGGGTCCTCCCAGCATTGCTCCTGGGCAGAAAGGGCCCGGGTGAGCAGCGGCCCCCTGGCCTGTGGAAGTACAAAGCCAGCAGTAGGGGCCCCGGCAGCAGTGCCAGCAGCCTGGTTGACTCAGGTAGCAGCTCCACCCCCAGAGCTGCCACAGCTCCTGATAGCCAGCGCAACAGCAAGAAGATTCTGGAGGGAGACATGCACTGGGCACTGTGGGGGGCACTTTGGAGAGCACCGGGATACATTTTTGAGTGTAGCATTGGCGGTGGGGATACCTGGAAGTGCTTGGCACTGCTGCTAGTTTTGCCGGCAGAACATGCAAACCAAAGTTAGCAGTTAGCCTAAGAGGAATGACAAGGAAATAGTGCACAATATCAAAAACTGATTGATATTCTCTTTCATAGGATTTCATGGAAGTCTACCCCCTACTAGTTTGTTCACGAGCTAACTTCTACAAAGGGACTCAGAAAATGACTTGGGGAAATCAATGGCAATAAACACTGTAACCCTCTCCAGTTTGCTCCCACTGAGGTATTCTGGCCTTTCCCTATACTGCCAACCCTACATAAGCCCTCTTGTCCCCAAAGGAAACAAGGCCATTTATTCATTTCAAGGATATCAGTGGGGTAAGACATGTACAAGAACATGCATCATATGTATGGCATATACAAGAACATGAACATACAATGATGATGTGCAAAACCAAGACCTCTGCAGATTGCACCATTCGTCACCTCCCTCCCAGCCCCTAATGAATCCTTTCTCTTCTCTTGCCTCCTTCTCTCCCTCCCTATACCCAATCCTATCCCCTATGAAGCCTTCTTTGCCCACCATCCACTTGACCTGGTGGAGGAAGCAGCAGCTGTCACTGATAAATGACAAGATTGAGGACTGAGATATGTGGCACTGGAGCCCTCGCATCTCGTGCCTGATGAGCTCCTGGGAGTGAGGCACAGCCTGTCTGTGCAGTCACTTTCACAACCTGGATAATGGTGGCTCTTCTCACACTCCCAGCCCTGGGGCTCCAGGATGTCCCTGGACAGAGGCCAAGAGGAATCCCGGAAGCCAGAAACTACCAGATATCTGTTCGCCAGGCCTGATGCAGGCCGGCCATTCCAGCTTCATGCATTCACTCACTTGTTCATTTAGTAAGTATGCATTATCTGTCTGGAGCCTGGGTTTTGCAAGATGCTTTTTGTCATAAAAGTGAACTAAATTGCCTTGCAGACATAGGTGTAAACAATGCACAGTAAAGCAATCTATTATGTGGTGAGGCCAAGGGACAAGCTCCTAACAGTTCTTACATCAACTCAATGTCATTCCCACGCATGTGTCTTTCTGCTCTTCCATGTGGAAAACCTGTTGAAGGCAAGGTCCATACCAGACCTTATTCATCTCCTTACACCAGGAACACTATCAACAGAATGTGTAGCCTTGAAAAACAGACGAGTTGAGGATTTACTGATAAAATAAAATAATGGATGATTGGTTACTTTTAAAAAAAAAAGTTATTTATTTGAAAGTCAGAGTTACACAGAGAGAGAAGGAGAGGCAGAGAGAGAGAGAGAGAGAGAGAGAGAGAAAGAAAGAAATCTTCCATCCTCTGGTTCACTCCCCAATTGGCTGCAACAGCTGGAGCTGTGCCCATCTGAAGCCAGGAGCCAGGAGCTTCCTCCAGGTCTCCCACATAGGTGTAGAGGCCCAAGGACTTGGGTCATCTGTTGCTGCTTTCCCAGGCCATAGCAGAGAACTGGATCAGAAGTGGAGCAGCTGGGACTCAAACTGGCACCCATATGGGATGCTGGCACTGCAAGCGACAGCTTTACCCACTATACCACGGTGCCAGCCCCGATTGGCTGCTTTTTAGATCCATGAGCCAAAGCTTGTGTTTCAGGTGCCATCCTTCAGGCCTCAGCAATGACCTAAAGGAGGACACACCCAAGGTCAAATGTGACAGGCCCTTGGAGGTCATCTACCAGGACCTCCTTGGATCTGCATTAACTGAGAGCACAAAATTGAGGAGATGACATTCAGAAGGGGTGTGGGGAAGCCCACTAGGAATGCAGGGGAAGCTCAGGTCACTGACAAGGGAAGATCCCAGGGGTGATGAAGCAGAGGCCTGGAGAGAGTCTATGAGACTGGAGAATCAACTTGGGGTCAGTGCAGTGAGGGACTGCGAGAACTTGGAATGGTGGCAAATGCCACCATTTATTCATGGGAGGTCCCTTCAGACTTTGTTCTAAGGCAAGGTCTAGGATAGAGAATGCTCACACTGGTGAAAATCTAATCTTTCTTATTGCTATATCTGAAATTAAAGACAAGAAGAGTTCACTAGGCTGATAGCATTCTACTTAGTACTCAAAATAAAAGGATATTGTGGGCCGGTGCTGCGGCTCACTAGGCTAATCCTCCGCCTTGCGGCGCCGGCACACCAGGTTCTAGTCCCGGTCGGGGCACCAGATTCTGTCCCGGTTGCCCCTCTTCCAGGTCAGCTCTCTGCTGTGGCCAGGGAAGTGCAGTGGAGGATGGCCCAAGTGCTTGGGCCCTGCACCCCATGGGAGACCAGGATAAGTACCTGGCTCCTGCCTTCGGATCAGCACGGTGCGCTGGCCATGGCGCTAGCCTGAGAGAGGGAAAAGATAAAGAGGTGTGTTATTATTCAAGAAAAGAGAACATTCTAGGGTGAATATAATCACCCCCTGTTAAATGTTCTAGTGAACCCACTCCACTGAGCTGCGTCAGCATGAATTGTGACTGCAGAGAGACTGGTCTCAGAGCAGATGTGAACGCAGAGATCACTGCTTAGCCTATCAATGAGTGTGCTTGCGAAAACGGTCATCAAGAGGCGAAAACAGCCTCCCAGGGAACCGGAACGGACAGATATAAGAAGACCACCATTTCTAAGAAATGAAAAAATGCAAGAACTTTGGACTCGGAGCAGTCTCCAAGCCAGCACCAGAAATATGGAACTCATTGCCAGCGTCTCACTGAATAACGAGGGCTGTGGGGGCTAAGGAAGGCATGCACAGGGTCAAGGCCAGCAGTGGGAGTGTGCGTCATCACAGGGATGATGCTCTTGTCAGTAATGCGAATCATTTCAGTCATGATGGTGATGGCAGAAGAACCTCACTGCATAGACTAAATGTCTTTCTGGGCCTTTGTATTACAGTGATGACAGCACGTTACTGTGTGTTTGCCTGTGTGTTTTGTTACTTGGTGTTTGCCTGTGATTGCTGGCGCCCAGCTCCTAAAACCCTTGGAATCTCTGGTGAGGTGATAGGAGTATCTTTTGGTATGTACAGCAAGCCCCTTGAGACCACACCTCAGTGTCTGCTAATGAAGTGACTTCTGTTGGGTCCTCTAGAGAGCTTCAAGATTGGGGCGTGGTCTCCAGAAAGACCTCGCACATGGTTAGGGCTGGAGACTGAGTTCCACCACCAATGGCCAATGATTCAGTCATGTCTACATACTGAAATCTTGTACAAGGAGTATAGCGAAGCACAGAGAAGTTAATAATTTACTTCAAGGTTATGCAACCTGAATTTTATTGAGATAATATGCACATGTATAATTCTTCTATATCACTAATAACAGTTTTGAAGACCACTTTAAGTGAGTAAAAATCATTCTTTTATGTAAAAACATTCCTGGATAGTGGCCCAAGCGTCATTTTATTTGGAGACACTTCAAGCCTCTGCTTGGCCCACACAGAAAGAAGCCCCTGGGCACGAGCAGAACCTGAGACGGAGCCCTGAGCCAGCGTGCTTGCAATCAGCAATTCCAATCATCTTTTGATATCATTTTGTGTCTCCCTTGTAATACAAATAAAATTGTCTCCTTCTAGAAGAGGAGCTTGGGTTAACATTTTTTTTTTTTTTGGTCATGCTTGAACAGCAATTCCCCAGTGGAGAAGACCTATCACTGCCCCATCTGTCAAATTGTCTGTCCAAGATTGCAGGCTGCTGTCCTGTGCTTCTCCTGCAGGGTTTGTGCCTCCTCTCCTGGGACACCTTGCGTAGGAGGTGGTTCACACACACGCTGTGTCTCTGGCCATTGCCCCCTCAGGTTCTCTCAGAGTTATGCACAATGGGACCCCTACATTTCTGAGTAAGAACATAGAACACAACATAGGAGCTGTGGTCAGGAGGGATCCTGGTGCTTCCCTTGTTCTGCCATGAGCAATGTGATGCATTGAAGGATATGGAAGCCTAGATGTCCCCCAGAGCAGCCGTGTACCTCATATAAGAACACCCAGATATCCTGACACCCAAGGGCTGGGCTGAACTCTGGGACTGATGAATTCATAGTTACATTTTGGAAAGGTGAAGGAGCCAGGCTTCGTCCTCAGTCAGCACACGGCTGAGCACCAAGTTGCTAACACTGATCTGTGGGGATGCTGCTGGCAAAAAAAATAAGCAAGAGCCTGGTGAGGTTCTGCAGGGAAGAGTTTATTCTTTCACAGCACAGAATAGGGGAGCCGACCATGTAGGAGAAAATTCAGCACCTTCCGGAGGAAGATCTCAGCATCTCCGAGCCAGGGCATGGCCAGCGAGGAAGGAAGGTGGGGAAGCAGCAGGCTGGCACGAGTGTCCTGCACTTTGGTTCCTCCAGCCCTGCTTGTCTGCGCTCCTCATGGCCCAGGTCAGCAGCAGCCGGAGCCCCCAGACTGCTGGCCGCTGCCACCGCCGCCGCTGCTGCCACAGCAGCCACTGCCGCTGCTGCTGCCGCCACCACAGCTGCTGCCGCCGCCGCTGCTAATGCTACAGCAGCTACTGCTACAGCAGCTACTGCCACCACCACTGCTGCAGCAACCAGAGCTCTGGTGTCGGCGACGAAGGGACCGGCGGGGTCGGTGGTGGCTCAGGCAGCAGCCGCCGCCCCCGGAGCTGCAGCAGCCCCCGGAGCTGGAGCCGCAGCAGGAGGACACCGGAGGGCATTTGGGGGGACATTTTGGGGATTGGCACTTAGGAGGGGGCTGGCACTGCTTCTGGCTCTGCTGGCTGGACATCTTCGAGGGGAAGTCCGTGAACCTAAGGAGAAATGGAAGAGATGGAAGAGATGGAAAGACGGCCGCACAGCTATCAAGCCACTCTGTCCTTCCTGGAGATGCTCACTCTGACACAAGGTTCTTTGTAATCTATAAGCTGAATGTGGAAACGAATATGCAGTAAAATCTAGTGCAGTAAAAGCTCCTTCCCTCGCAATTCTTTGCTGCCCCCACTGAAAAACACTGACCATCTTCCCACATGAGCTCCAGAATCAGCCCCGTTATAAAGCTTCCTAAGCACTTGGTAACACGGCTGGTTGTGTGTTTTGAAACTTTCCTGGGATGGATCAGTAGATGGATCAGGAAAAGCTCTTGCCGACCCCGACTCTGGCGGCACAAGGCCCATGACTTGTCGGCTTGTTCCTTCTCTTCTACCTTTACCCCCTGGTTCTATTGGTGTCCGTTTCCAGGCTGGGACACAGTCCCACAGCCAGCTCCCGGCCGGATGCTCAGAAGTCAGGAAAGGCTGGCATTGACAAAGTTACACAAAGCCAGCCCAGGCCTGGTTCAACCGCAGTTTGGAGAACCTCTGCCAGCAGCTCCCTTCTCCCCCGGGAACTCCTTCCTCCTCCCTGCCTTCCTCTGCCCTCTCCCCACCCAGCGCTGCCCACAGCCTGACACTCACCTGATCAGTGGAGGAAGTGGAAGCTGTCAGTGGAAGGCTGAGGACTGAGGAGCAGGGCGCTGGAGCCCTTTTATCCTGGGCCTGATGAGCCCCTGGGAGTGAGGCACGGCCTGTGTATGCAGACCAGTCACTTTCACAACCCAGATGAGGGCGGGTCCTCACACTCCCAGCCCTGGGGCCCCCGGGGACCTCTGGGGAGAGAGGCTAAGAGGAATCTGGAAGCTAGAGACTGCCCAGGTATCTGCTCCACAGACCTGATGCAGTCCAGCCATTCCACATTCATGCATTCACTCATTCATTAATTCAATAAATATGTACTGTCTTTCCTGGGCCCATAATTTTGCAAGATATCAATGACACAAATATGACACAGAATGCTCTGAGTTCCTTGCCATCTCAGAGCATGAATGTATAAGCAAGGATCTGTAAGTTTCTGGGCTATGTGGTCTTGGTCTTTGGTCCGGGTCCCTTATAGCTTTTCTCCAGAACAGTTTCATAAGCTTTCTACATGTCTTTCCAACCTAGGAGCCATTCGAGTGTAGCCTATGTTTTATTCAGCCCTGAATTCTATGTGCTTGGGACAGTATCTGGCACAAGAAGCAGAGGATGAAGACTGGACATCAGGGAACAGGAAGGCGGGCATTTCCAGAGCACAGAGGCAGGGATTCCAGCCACAGTATGGCAGGTCTTCTGTTTTCGGAATCCAAGACAGATTCCCAGGGAGGCTTAACGTTATTTCCACTAATACTGAATATTAATTCCCAAGAGATAAATTGGGAGCATGACTCCTGGGAACGAGGTCAGATTGGCAGTGTGGACTAGAAGGGGAATCCACCGGGGAGTGAAGACCTTGGCAAGCCTTGACGACCCCGGAAGGTAGCAGCCACGTGGAGGGTGTGGTGCCACCATCCCAGGAGAGGGGGGCTTGCAAAGGGGTCTGGGAGAGAGATAAATGCTATTTTGAACTTGGAAGTTCTAACAGTCTTTTTGCCTCAGGGCTGAAGCTGAGGGCTGAATTAGAATAACTACATTATTAAGCTGTTGCATGTCTATAGGTAGGCTCTCCTAGCAAGAAAAATAGAATAAAGGATTTCTTTCACTTGACATTAGTTCAGCACCTACTAATTGGTAAACAGGGTTACATTGCTGTGAATAAGGAATCCTCATTAACTTTAATGAGCACATATTGTAGTTGGGCTGTTGGTTTTTGTTTGTTTCTGTATTTTAAGAAAACAGTAATTCTCCTAGAGAAATTTGCCAGGCTTTCATGGTCATGTATGAGAGAGCATCACATTATGCAGGCTGGATCGGATCCTTGGTAATTAATTAACAATGTGAAGGCGTGTGAGAGGCTGCACCCACTGACGGAGAACGTGCACACTACGAGGAGACAGGGTTGAATAAGAGGCAGAATCAGGTGGAACCGAATGGGTAGGCAAAGTTGAGAGGCTTAGTGGAAAAAAAATCAAGAGAAAATCCTGGCATTCTGGGAGAAATGGAGAAAGAAATTTCAAAAGATGAACGCATGGAGATGGGGTCCATTAATGGCATTGGAAATACTTGTTCAATGGCAAGGGCTGAAACCATAGTAATTTCAGAAAGGATTAGAGCAAGTGGAACAAAGATCACTATTTCCAAGGATTTAAGAGGTGGAGAATGAAATCGTGGTTCCCAGAGCCTGTGGAGGGTGTGAGGGGGGAGGGGAGGGAGCACGGTCAGCAGGTGTAAGGGTCCCATTGGAGAGGAGGAATAATCTCTCGTGTCCTATGACACAGGAAGATAACTATGGGTGACAACAATTAACTGAATATTTCAAAATAGAGAAAAGGTTGAATGGCACCAACAGAAAGAAAGGCTAAACATCTGTGACGGTGGATATGCCCATTACTTGGATCTGATGATTACAAAACATGTTAATGTACTGATATGTCACATTGAATCTGTAACCATGTATAATTATCATGTGTCAGATACAGATATTCAAAAAGAGAAAAAAGTCTGTTCTCTTGAAATCAATTTTTTTTAGATTTATTTATTTATTTGAAAGTCAGAGTTACACAGAGAGAGGAGAGGCAGAGAGAGAGAGAAAGGTCTTCCATCAATGTTTCACTCCCCAGATGACTGCAACAGCCAGAGCTGTGCCGATCCGAAGCCAGGAGCCAGGAGCTTCTTCCCAGTCTCCCACGTGGGTGCAGGGGCCCAAGGACTTGGGCCATCCTCTACTGCTTTCCCAGGCCATAGCAGAGAGCTGGACTGGAAGTGGAGCAGCCGGGAAGCGAACTGGCGCCCATATAAGATGCCAGCACTGCAGGCGGCGGCTTTACCCGCTACGCCACAGTGCTGGACCCCAGATTATTTTTAATAGATGGTTTTAATAGATCTCTTCATCCATGGGAAGACACTTACAAGAAATAGGAAATGCTTTCTGACCTTCTGGTGCAGGCAGCAAGTCTAGAATGACATATCGGAGAGAACACCATTTTACTGAGAGCTGCTTTCAGAGAGGATGGGCCAAAGAGGCAGTTGGAAGGATCTCTGTGGGTTTGGGTCCAGGCCACCTCTGGGCTCTGTTCCAGTTCTATACCCACATCTGGCTCACTGGATGGATTGGACTCTTTCTTGTGTTCCAAAGACTTCAACACTTCTCCTTTCCAGCTCAGGTGTCAACCATTAAAGATAACATCTATGGAGTACCACATACTGTAAGCCAGGGCCTCTCCAGTCATTGCACATGCTGTGGTTACCTAATGTCCACGGCAGCCTATATATACAACAGTAAAGATTGTGGAGACTGAGGCAAAAACACATTAAGAAACTTATTCCAAGTCCCAGAATTGGTGCTAGACCAGAGATTAAGATCCAAGCATTCTGGGCAAGGTTTTAGCCTTTGGGAAGCAGCAAGTGATGACTCAAGTGTTTTGGTCTCTGACACCCATACAGTAGACCCAGACTGAGTTTCTAACTCCTGGCTTTGGCTTGATCCAGTCCTGGCCATTGCCGTCATTTGGACAGTGAACCAGCAGATGGTTACCCTCTCTTTCTCTATCTCTCTCTCAAATAAATGATTTTTAAATGAAAATTTGAAAAAAAATTGTCAAAGCTACAAAGAAGCATTACGACCACTTTTTCTTGTTCAATTTTAAAATGTTTAAATTTTGTATTCGCATCGAATACTTGAACATTTTTTAAGGGATACTATACAATATTTCAACACATATACATAGCTTCAACCAGTTATACCAGGAAACCAGACTCTATGTTTCCTTATCTGTTCTTCATGTTTGTAGCCGATCTGTTTCTCTGTTTCAATTATTTATGTGGAATCCTACTTCTCTGTTTCAATTGTTTATACCAACTATAATGTATCAGCATGAGCCATGGTCACTCTCAATGTGCTACACAACACCAGAATGTTCTACATTCGTCCCACTGTGTTTTGGTACCCATTACCCAGTCTCCCGCACTACAGCCTTCCCCTCCCTCCTGGCCTCTTGGTAATCAGTATTTTGAATTCATTTTGTGTGTGTGTGTGCGTGCGTGTGTGTTTAACTTCCAATATGAGAGGGAACATGTGATATTTGGCTTTCTGTGTCTGCCTTATTTCACTTAACTTACAGATCTCTAGTTCCATTTATTTTGCTGGATATGTCAAGATTTTATTTTTTGTGGCAGAATAATATGACACTGTATACGTGTAGCACATGTTCTTTATCCATTGATGCACATTTAGGTGATTCTAAATCCTGACTGTTACGAGTACATCTGCAATGTAGAGGCTATGTGATTTTCAGGGTGGGTTGGCATCGCCCCCAAGGCACCAGCTACAGAACGGACATTGTGATCTAAAATGGCTGAGGTATGGCCAGGGTATGGCAGGAATGACATAACTAGGAGAACCAAAGGTAACCACTACACAGAGCAGGAGGACCACCCTAAGGAGAATGGTGTGGAGATTCCTCAAAACCCTTCAAACAGACCTACCATCCGACCTCACTCTCCCGCTGCTGGGTCTATAACTGAAGGAAATGAAATCAGCACGTGGAAGAGAGACCTGATCTCCCAACCACTTTCCTTCAGTTTTCCTTCCTTCTAAATCTGGCTGAAGAAACGAATTCTGACTCACTTGTCACAATGGTTTTTCATAAAGGGGCATACAGACCCTTTTCATTTTGAAGGAAAAAGTAGCCATCAGAGAGCTAGGTAAATAGTTGGTAACAAGCAAGACACAAAGATCCTAGAAATGGAAGAGTCCTTGTTCTTCAAGAAATGCAAATGATTTTTTTTTATTTGACAGGAAGAGTTACAGACAGTGAGAGAGCAAACTTTTGCGTCATTTTTTCCAACCCTTTGAACCCCAGCCCAAGATACCTCAGTATCCTGCTGTCCCCCCAAAGCCACCCTCCTTCCCCTCCCACCCACATAGCCTTTTTTTTTTTCAAAAGTTTAGGTTGCAGAGTGACATGTGCCCGACATACAGAGCATGCACACGTACAAACATACCATGACAGTCACCACCCCACAGGTCTCACCTACAAAGCAGACATCCTAACATGTGATGCCCAAGGTATGGCCAGGGGAGGTCAGGAATGGAATGAGTATGAGACCAGAGGTGACCACACCCCACCACATAGAGCAGGAGCACCACCCAGCACCACTCACCTCTAGGACACTCCTTCTAGTGACCCCGGTCCCTTAAACACCTGGGGGAACATAATGAGAATCTTGACAAGTTTGTCTAGTCTGAAACTTAAGAGAATTCTTTTTTTTTTTTAATAACATTTTGTTTATTTATTTGAGAGGTAGAGTTATAGACAGAGAAGGAAAGACAGAGAGAAAGGTCTTCCATCCAACGATTCACTCCCCAGATGGCCTCAATGGCCAGAGCTGAGCAGATCCAAAGCCAGGAGCCAGGAACTTCCTCTGGGTTTCCCACATGGGTGTAGGGGCCCAAGGACTTGGGCCATCTTCCGCAGCTTCCCAGAAAAATTATCTCTTGCGGTCTTCACTGAGTTGTAAATGGAACTCAGTTTGGTGTTCTAATAACATCCTTCTGTATGTGCTTTCTTAGTTCCATTGTGGAGATTCCTGTTCTTATTCTGTTGTGGAAATTTCTCTTTC